TGACGTACAGTAGGAGTTGCGATGAGAAAGACATTTGGATAGAATTCGAGGTTGCAGGCATGACGCGTGGATCCCAAACAATGTTTGCTGCATGCTTCGGTGTATGAGGAGCCGCTTAGTGCAAGCACTGTTCGAAGAATTTCCACATCGCGCCCTGATCGAGGGTGCAGCAACCGCTTGTGCTCGCCGTCGCCCGGGGCCAACAGTGGCCCTGGGGCGAGGCCGCGTTGAGGCCGCCTTGGTCGTGCGTCGCCACCGTTCGAACTCGGTGTCGGGGCCGACAGGTGTACACGTCGTTCATTTCAAATCGTGCTCATTTCTAATTGTGCCCGTTTCAAATTCTTCCTGGCCCCCCAGTGGCCAGGAAGAGGCTCAGGATAGAATAATCAGAAACGAGAGGATCTTGCCCCCCCAGAAAAGCAAAGACCTCTGGAAGAATTAGACATGAACAAGATGTACTTGGGCGAGGCCTTGCAGAGCGACCCAACAGAACACATGTTAGATTCAGGTGGAAGTGCGAATCCACAGCAGCAGGTGCCACTCCTTGCTCTGCTGCTACCATCCCGGTCTACTACCAAGGGAAACGAGAAAAATGGATAAAAAGGCGGCGAAGGAGGAGGAGGAGGAGGAGGACGACGACGACGACGACGGTCGCACCGCCGATTCCCAGGTGGAAGTGCGAATCCACAGCAGCAGGTGCCACTCAGCCTGCGGGGTGCTGCACGTGCCTGCTGCTCTTTTGTTTCATGCGTTTCTTGCGCTGGCCAGAGAACTCTGGGGACGTCCTTCTCGCCCCCTCTGCTGTGTGTTGTCTTGTTTTTCCTCCGTGCCTCTGCTTCCTGTTGTGTTCCTCTCGGCCTCCCCCCACACCCTGGAGGGCTCGGCTCGCGAGAGAGTCCCAGCCTTTCGAGAGAAGCTGGAGGCCTCAGCCTGCTGCTCCGCCGCCACCGCATGCAGTCGCGGACGGCGGTCGCCGTATCGCCCGCCGCGCGCCGCTGATCCCAAAGTCGCAGCTGGCCGAGCTCCAAACCCGCCTCCGGGCATGTGTCGACCTCTCAGCCTCTCAGCCCCCTCCGTCTGAGGTGTGCAGCGCCTAAGTAGCGCTGGAGCGCCCTCGGGAGCTGCGGCGTCGGAGCACCACCCTGCACGGGCGCGCAGCGCCAGCGTGGGAGGAGGAGCCCATCGGAACGAGGGCTGCACTGGGAGCCTGCGAGCCACGACGCCAGCCTTGTCGTGCGGCGCCGCTTCGCCCTCGCTCGAGCTCGTCATCCAGCCCTGCTGTCGCCACAGACGGGCCTTGCCGACCTGCAGCAGGAGCAGGACCAGGGAGGGGGAGTGGGGTTGGGAGTTCGGGGAAAAGAGCCACAGCGCGTCAGTCCGCGCCGTCTTGGAGCACCAAGACCTCGATCGGCAGAGCATACTCAGTCTGTGAAATAGACGCCCGTCCGTCGGCGTGCTGCGATCTCTGCACCGCGCAGGTTCGCATATGTCCCAGCTTACCATCTGCCGACGTCGTGGATTTTCTCGATGGCCTTGAGCCCGTCGTAGGATTCCTCGTAGGACTCATGGAATGCCAGCTCGAAGTCGCCCACATGGACTAGGGCCGTGCCGATCAGCCCCCCCTTCTGTCGTAGACTCTATACGCAGGGCCCATGGCGATGCGCCAGCCATCCGAGCCCCTTGACGTCGCGGCATATCCTTTGCCACCACTTGCGAGGGGCGGTCGCCAGGCCATACACCGCCTTCTTGAGCTGCAGCACGTCGCCGGCCCGCATGCCGAGAGCCTCGACAAGCTCCTCGACTGGCTCCACGAAAACTCGTCATCGGCATCCATCGGCTCGCCTTGGATGAAGGCGGCGCGGACGTCGCCCTTGATCAGGCGTATCGCGTCACGAGCAGGCTTCCAGCGAAATAGGTTACGAGCCCTTCGTGATGGTGTCGAACTCTCCGTCTTCTGTTCCAGCAGCCTGGGACGCGCGAGACCCAAAACAACCAGGTGCGCCGTTGCACTCCCGCCATCCTTCCAAGTCAGACCCACCGCATCTTCATCCGCATATCGAGGTTGACTGACGGATGCTCTCGCTTGAATCACCTCGATGGTTTCATGCTTGGGCCACTTCGCGGTATCCTCGCGCTTCGCCTGGCTGAGAGGCTTCAGCCCGTCCTGGTCCAGATCGTGTAGACGCGCCGCCACGCGATCTCGTCGAGCCTGGCACCACCCTAAGGAAATGCTTGATGTTGTCGAGCGTGCACGCCACCTTTATCTGCGGCAGCTCCTGCAGCAGCGTCTCGGAGATGGCGTCGCCCTCCACGGCGAACTGCTCCGCGTAGACAGGCTCAGCCATGCCCGGCCTAGGCCTCTTCTCTTCCGGCGGCAGGAGGGGCCCATCACTCCTTTGTCTCTTGCCGCAGATGAGGTGCTGACGATTGCCTGGGTAAGGGCTTCACATGCTGCGCTGGTGAAGATACTTCTTGTCTTGAACCCCCCTGGAAAGCCGTCGATAATATCTTCGCCATCTGCTCCTAGGTCTGCTTCGCGTGGTAGTGCAAGTCGCTCAGGGGCCTGACTCGTACTTTCGTCTTCAGGTGCCTGCCGCGCCTGAGACTCTGGCCCCAGAGTCCGAGGGGGTACTTCTGGCGATGGCAACTCGTCCGTGATCGAGGGCATCTCCTTATGTCGGATGTCGTCTGGGCTCGTCTTGCCACGGACTCGGCTATCGGGCTTGGCTATGGCGCTCTGGGCAGGAATCTGCTTGGTCACTACAATCTCCCTGGTGGGTCCGGTCGCAGGTGTCGCCCCCGACGAGGCCGGCTGAGTCTCCTGCCTTACGGTCCGGCCAGCAGCGTTCGTGAGCGAGCACGCCGCGCGTCAATGTCGCCTTCTTGCTCTTCCCCTTCTGGTGCTGGATCAGCCTGTCTGGTAAGATCATCTGCCTCGTCCGGGTAGACGTGTCGTAGGCTGTCGAAGAAGTTGCGCACCAGGCCACTGACCACCATCTCGAAAAACCGTCGGTCCGCCTCTGACGCCGCCTTCAGATGCTCAGGAGCGATCCCGAGCAGTCGTCCGCCAAAGATAGCCCGCAAGATACCCGTCGAGGATGTCGAGCTGTCGTGCTTGTCCTGCTGCTTCTGAGGATGCGATGCCTGGGCCTTTCCAACTTGCAGTAAGCTGGCCACGTCTCTGGTTGGAGGTGTCCTTGCTGCGTCGCCAGCACCGCGCCAGCTAGGCCGCGTAGAATACTCTCGTCGACCTCGCATTGTGCAGGGCGGCGGCGCGCATGCAAGCGCTCGCCTGCACGCTCGACGTCGCTCTTGATGGGCTGCGATATGCTCGCTAGGGTTGAGCAGCGGTATCTCTGGCTCATTGGCCAGCAGGTCGGTGTCCAGGGGCTTGGGCTTCAAGGAGCTGCGACCTCGCATCGATGGAGGTCATTACGCGCCTGGACAATGAGCGCCCTCGATGCCTTGGATGGAACATCCGAGTCCAGGAGCTGGGCCGCCCGAGTAGCTGCTGTCTTCAGCGTCTGGGCGGCCCGCTCAACATCGCCAGTCTGCCAGTGGGCATCGCCAGCACTTGGCCGGATGAGGACCTTCAAAGCTGCAAAGAAATCGGTCGTCTCCTTGCTGATGAACCGTTGTCAGGATGCGCCCTGATGATGCTAGGGAGACCGTAGTGGGAAACCCTTGTTCGACGATGCTGTCGCGGAACATGTTGCCGCTCACGTTGCCAACCCGCGCGTCGCCGTCGACCTCTCGGTAGATCACGGGCAGAATGAGATGCGCAGCCACGTCCATGCACAGCTGTCCGAGCACCTTCTTGTGCGTCGCAGGGTGTCCCCACGTGAAAACGTCCGTCAGGACTGCCTCGCCGTTGCCCGGCAGATGGTTGTACGTTGCTACGGGCTCATGTTCGGGTCGTCGCGTTCTCGAGCACCAGCATCCCTGGGCATGCAACTGAGTGTCCTGTTGTGAGGGTGTAGGTCTTGCTTGTCGTCTAGCATGAGTTTGGCATCCAGGCCTGGGATGTCGTCCTCCCGGACCTCGGGGTCGCCCGTCGCAATGTCTGGTGCTGACCTCGTGCCAGCTGTCAGTAGCGGCGGCCTGTCCAGTCCACGCGCCGCGCCGCTGAAGACGCAGGCGGCGCCCCCCTCCATGGCCTGGATCTGGTCCAGCCTCTGCACCCGCTGGGGCCACTTCGTCGGTTCCAGGTGCTGAACCACCTTCCTACTAAACTTCCGGGGGTTAGCCAGCTGAGAAGGGCGCGAGCCCCCCGCTGATCTCGATACGACGGTTGTCTCCAGGGCATAGATACGCCAAGTAGTCTCGGGGGCGAACGTCGGAAGTCACGACGTGCCACAAATTTTTCACAGATAGAGCGCTGTTGGGACCGCGAAGACTGAGCGCGCAGCCGTGGAGCTTGATCACGCGCAGCTGCTCCTTCATGTCAGCCCATTCGTCTCGCCAGCTGCCGCGGGACCCAGGTTGCTCGCCGACAATGTGGCGGCCGAATTGCAGGGCCTCCTTCGGGCAGATCCTGCAGCTCTTGCGCATGATGCGAGCACGTGCCTGCTTCATACGTAGATTGCGTCGTTGCAGTCCAGTTCCCCGATTGCCATTCTGAGCAAGTGAGAACGGGCCGCATGCTGGTGATAACCAGACAAGCCGTGGCCGTTTCCCTCAGATCCGGGCCAAGACCTCCTCGAGCCCTTTTCGCCTCGCGAGGTCGCAGCCGCTGTGCAAGACACATCTTTCTGCCGCACGTCCGTTCTTTGATGACCGCCTCGGCGAGAAGGCTGTCGACTGGCGCGCCTGTCTCCAGCAGGTCGAATCTGTCGCAGATGTCCGCTACACCCTTGGCGAGTTGAACTTCTATGCCGTTCGCCTGGCGACGGGGCTGGCCGAGGCATCTTGCCGAGACTTTGCGTGGGGGGCACCTTGATCCCCAGGTGGCTCCTCTCCGCCGTGAGCTCGCTGCAAAGCCTGCGCATGGCGCTCCAGCGTCACGCCGTCCACTTGCGGTATACCAAACACTGCCACGCCTGCGTCGGCGTCTCCCTGTGGAGCCCCTGCCAGGCCTTGCACCGCGTCATGAAGACGAAACTGTGGCCACAACGGGTCCGCAAGGACTGGGGCGCTTGGAAGTAGGGCTTCCCCCGCTGTCTCCATTTTCCGGTGGGCTTCGACGGCTGCCAGCCCCAGTAGGTCGGACGACGCCGCGTCCGCTGGACTTCGTTAATCTCGGGCAGCACTGGGGGCTTGAAGAGGTTCTGGCTGGATAGAAGCTGGGGTCGCAGGACTGGCCTGAGCATCGGGCGCGACTACGGCCCCGCTGTCGGACGCGAGGATGATTCGGCCGTTGGGCTCGAAGATGTTTCGACCGTTGGGCTCGATCAGCGCGACTTCGGCCTCGAGGTCAAAGCGGGCGCGTCGCCCCCTGGAGGTGCCGCCCCTGCGTCGAAAGCCATCTTGGCCTCCATGAGCTTCAGGTTGTCGCAGTGCGCCTGGAGCTTCTTCCCGATGTCCTCAGAACTCCTGTCCTCGGCCTTCGTCTCCTCCAGGTCGTGCTGGAAGATCAGGGCCAGCTCCCTCGGGCCTGCCCAACTCGTCGGGGCCTTCGTCTGGCCCGGCATCTCCCGAGCCTGGTCTAGCTGCAGAATCCACTCCGGTGTCGTCTCGTTGTAGGCTGCTTCTGCCGTCCGGTGTCCTGCTGAGCGCTTCGCCAGCGCTGCTGAAGGTGAGGTCGGGCCCCCCCCATCCTCTTCGATGTCCAGGTAGTTCAGCACCTGGCCGCGCCCGGCGCCCTGCAAGTCCTCGACGCCGTTGATCCTGCCGCGCGCCTGGCATGGAAAGCAGATCTCCTCCTCGGAGGTGTCCTCCATCGCTACCCCGCTCGATGATCGACTGCTGGTAGAGCCCGCTGGCGGCGAGACTCGTCGCGAGGCCGAAGAGCCCTCCGAGGGCGCCACTCCTCCGTCGGATTTCATCAAATCCTTGGACTGGGTAACATATGGAAAGGCCCGAGGGCCGGACAAGTTGAATGACATCATCGAGTCCAGCTGTTGGGCGCTACCTCTGAGCCAAAAACGGCGACGTGTCACTGTAGATGTCACTACATAGCTGCACCCTTGACAGTAGCGCGTACCCCTTTTGACGGTTCGTCGGCTTCGGTGGTCCAGGGATGTCGTGCGTTTGCTGAATAATGTAATAGTCCAAGATGATGATTATACCGACCGCGTGGCTAATGCTGACTGATATCAGAAGCTGATGTGCCCTGTAGTTCCCGCTGGCTTGCTGGCCTGCTGTGTAAGTGATGTTTGGCGGCTGCCGCAGTGATAAAAATACACGGGAGTTGATGGGGGCAATCGCCGCAACCGTAGCCGCGATCGCCGTTGCGAAACTGAAGACTGGAATGTCTGCTTGATTGGTGCCGTTTCCAGCTGTCCCTTTCTCGGTCACTGATGGCACCGTTGCCGAGTCAGGGTGCTGCCCTTATCGCGAGGCGGCAGGTGCAGGGGAAAGTGCATTCGCATCCTTGCGAGCAGAAGTCGCCCCAGTCGGGTGCTTCAGAATATCTAGAACTAGGCGACCGTTGCCCAGCCTCGGGAGAACCAAATCCTGCGCCAAACTCTTGACCACGCATGTGCCAGTCCCGAAGTCAACACACAACCCCAGCGACTGTAGGGGGCCCATTCCAAGCAACGCCGGGCCAGGCTTGCTGAGGCCCGCGAAGGTCAGCATCCCGGAAACATATGAGATAAAGGCCGGGGTCGTGGTGCGTCCCATGCTCGCGCCCTCGGCACAACTCGAGAACGTGAGCTCTGCCTGGTGGGTAGGGTCGACTGAGACGAGGTCGTCGCCGCGCTTGGAAGCAATCTCCTCCTGCGCGGCAGTCGGCCAGGAAAGGCCCGCCATGCTTTGAGACGCCCCGCTGCCTGCCATCGCCCGGCCGCGGCACTCCTGGGCGCTGAAGAAGGTGAAGGCTGCAAAGGCGAGGAGGGCCTTCTCCAGAGGACACGTCCCAATCACGAAACCAATGAAGCCAGAAAAACTAGGTCTGCACGGCCCCTTCACTTCTGGGCAGTCCTTGACCAGATGGTCCGTCTTTCCGAACTTGAGGCGCTTCTTGGCGATCGGACCCTGGCCTGACGATCCGGCGGGTCGGCACTGGTCACGATCTGGTAGCCTCGGCTGGTATCCTCCTTGGTAGCTGCCAACCATGGCAACTCCTTGTCGACGGGGTCGCGGTGAACGGCGATCTCGCTGAAATCCACGTGCAGGCGGATATCGAGGCACTCGCTGCTGTCCACGCTGATCGTCGCCAAGACGGGGCGGTGGCCTGGTTCGCCTTGTTCTGCATCAGTAGGTTGCGAGCCTCCTTGGACGTCCTCTGATCATGCCCCATCATCATGGCGCCTTCCTGCTGAGGGTCAGCCTCGTAGAACTCCTGGCTGGTGTCGTCCTGGCTCGCCCCGTCCCCATGCTCGTAGAAGCCGTCGATGGCATCCTCCTGGTAATCGCGGTCGTGCTGCGACACGTCGTCGTCCTCGAAGCCAAAGCCACTCAAGCCGTCCACCGCATGGGTCTCTGATCGGATACCGTCTCGCCGTCGTAGTTCGCCCTCTGGCCAGCTCCCGATCGGAGCCTCCAGGTTCTTGTCGCGCGTGTACTTGTGGCCGTTCGCCGAGAGGACTCCAGCTCGCTCGGTCGGCTCTGGCCCGCTGCTGTAGAGAACCAGTGCCCCTCGCAGCTCGGCCTCCATGTTTGGCGCTCTTCTCTTCAGGGGGAAGGGAAGGATGATGAGGAGGCAGAGGGGAAGGCGACAAGTGAGTACGAACAGGGGGCGCACCACCACGGGTCCGCAAAACCACGGCCTCCAGACGCTGACTCCCGGGCCCCCGCGGCAGAGTTGAACGGGGGCAGCATTCAGAGAGCACTAAACCGGGCAACGCCTAAACGGGGTAACAGACCCACCATGGGATCCAGGTGGAAAAACTGCAACGACCAGAACAAACAGATGCACTGCATTTTTCTGCAACGCAAGAAAACTGCACGGCAATGAGTTGGCAACTAGTTGCGGAAAAACTGCAAACAAGCCCCACAGACCGGGCAACAGAGGGCCCAAAACAAAAAGTTGCAGTGCAGCAGCCGAAAATGTGCAATGCAGCCAGCATGTGGAAGGTGCTGCATCGAACGCGAAAGCCAAAGAAAACTGCACTGCAACAAAAGAGCGATTTGATGCCTCGAACCGGCCGTTTCCTGTGTCCCCGTCTGCTGTTACCCCGTCTCTAGCTCCCTGAAGCATACTGGGATCCAGGCCTCCCGCGTATTGTAACAGCTCGGTTGGACCTGCGGCTGGTGCCCCTACGGGCAAGGAAATGCGCCTCGCGTCGCAGCCGCAGCCCCGGTGGTACGGCGTGCCCTGCCAACGGGTAGCGTTTCGCTTCGCAGTACGGGGAGGGAGGATGGGAAAAGTTAGGGACGCTGACGCTGGGGGAACAAGACATGGATAGCGTATAGCGTTCCGAGCCGAAGCGTGGCGGGCTAGAACCAGCAGAGCGACGCGCTAAGCAAAAATCCCTGACCGTAAATGTGCCCTCCGGGGGGCGATGCCCGCAAAGAACAGCCTGGCGAGCCAGTCCAGGGAGAATCTGGACCGCTGGATCACGTGATGATGAACATGCAACCCACGTCGAACGTATCAGCCCCTGGAAGGCTCGGAAAGGCCAACGAGGCGGCAAGAGGGCTCCCACGCCCAGTCTGCAGGGAAGGACGGTCCGGAGGTCCGCGAGAAGGGCCCCCGAGAGGCCAACGCCCTCGGAGAACAGCGAGACCTCCATTTCTTACGGGCAGGCTCTGGCACATCACAGGTCCCGATGGCTCACAGTCAGGCCGCGCCTTGCGCGTTGAACCCAGGAGCGTCCCAGATTGCTCGGAAGGGCCTCCAGGATCCGCCAGAGATCGAAGTGAGCCCCTGGCGCAAGCCCCAAGCGCCCTCCCACCAGGCGGCCACGACACGCTCCCACAAGGATGCGCACAACTGCGTGCGCCGGGATCCTGCGAGGACCACCCCCGGCCCAGCATGTCCACGGATCCGTCGGCGGCCCGATCCTGACCGCACAAATCGGGGAGGCAACGCCTGCATCTCCTGAGTGGCTCAGTGGCCGAGAGAGGAGGCCTGCGGAGATCGCGGAAGCCCATGGCACCGCGGGCGGTCGGGCCGCCGCGCGAAGCGTTTCCCAGGCGGCGGCGCGCACTCGGAAAGCGTCTTGGCCGGATGGTATCGGGGGGAGGGGGTTCTCGCGGGCGCCCCAGCGGTTCCCCGGAGACGCACGGGGGCGCCGACACTCCAAAATCTAAGAGTTGCCCCAGATGTTCTCTGGCCTCCCCCCCAGAACTCGCACGTGTACCGAACCAAGCGGGGGGGCGCCAATGCCGATCTGGGTTTTGGCGCGCCGAATGGGGCGCGCCGAATTGGCGCCTGGTCGCCCCCACTCGCTGAAGACATCCCGCCAAATTGGGGGGGCGGACAACAACAACAACAACAACAACAACAACAATCATTTAAGACTGGGGACACTCCGTTCTCACCAGTGCCAGGGTTTTCGTAGGAGGCGGGCAATGCCCCCACTTTGTGGGGGGGCCGGTTCAAGCTCTACCAAGTTTAGGACGACTCTTCGCCACCACCCACACCCAGCTTCCCGCCCTATGACGTTCGGACGCTTCACTTCGTGGCCTGCGGACGACCTTGGCTACTACACTGGCGCATGGGTACAATGACTTGTTGTGGTAACATTTTGTGGAAGCTAGCTTAGTATACGACTTATCCCCCTGTTCCAACACTGGACACCTGTACCGTTTTCCGACGTTTTTCCGTTTCTGTACCACACAAGCAAAGATTATTTTGAGTGGTACCACGTGCGTGGCGCCAGCATACCACAGGACTTGTTTCCGTTGTTGTTATGCTCATTCTTGTTCTGTGGTTGTCGTTCCGGCCTCAATGTGCAATACTGGCTCATTCGTCTACGAAATACACGTGGCTACCTCTCTCTGGTGGGAGGTCCTGATGGTTGTGGTTGTCCCGATGATTGTCGCGATGATTGTCCCGATGATTGTCCCGATTGTTGTTCCGATGGTTCTCCCGATGGTTGTCCCGATGGTTGCCCCGATCGTTGTCCCGATGGTTGTCCCGATGGTTGTCCCGATGGTTGTCCCGATGGTTGTGGTTGTCCCGATCGTTGTCCCGATGGTTGTCCCCATGGTTGTCCCGATGGTTGTTCCGACGGTGGTCCCGATGGTTGTCCCATGTCAGCGATGCCGGATCCTCACGCCCCCCGCCGGAGGAGGAGGGGGAGGAGGAGGAGCAGGACAAGGCGCGGCGGCTCTGGACACATACGTGCTCTGACGAGTCTTTGTGCTCATCATCTTCTGGCATACGCCTGTCTCTAATGGCACGCATCGGGCGCAATACTGCAAGCTGCGCTCCTGGCACCAATACATCTGGGGCCAAGTGACCCAGCATGGTGCCGATACGCCCCCTCGCGGATACATCGCCCGTGCGTCCGTGGGGCGCCAATGCCGCCAGGATACCCTGGACATGCGCCGGCATGCCCAGATCCACCCGGTAATCCATGACATTCCCATACTCGGACTGCCCGAAAGAACGCCATACTGGCATGTGCCACCAATGGTCCTGCTTCGGGAAAACGGTGATACCATCCTTGACGTCGTGGGAGGCATTCCACAGAGCCATAGATGGCGGCTCCATACCCATGGATCCCGTGTGTGTTGCCACAAATACATCCAGGCTCGCCATGCGCCTGTATGACAGACCTGATACCACCTCGGAACGCACGTGAATACGCAGGAGCTGCAACAGCCT